GAACTTAAAAGTCATTTTATGTTTATTTTCATAAGATTTAATTTTTCATATCTTTCTGCTTTCTTAGAGCTACATTGTCCACCCTATTTTTGATCTGTAGGGTTGGTAAAGCTGAAAGCTAACGTACTTGATAAACGCTTAAAAATTCATGGAATAAAATAGGTGATAACGAAGAAAATTACATATATAATGCCGGAATTTACTTAATATGTACATAGTTTTATAAAAAATTTAATACGAGTGATGAAAAGTGTTGTTTATAGTTAATATAAAATATAGAACGTTTAAAGGGAAACGTGAAAGTTTTGTACGCCACGTGACTGCATGGTTTTTATACAGTTTCGGCTGCATAGGTTAAGGTGAAGGCATTAGCCGGTTGGCGGGAGATAAACTTTGCCCTCGATCTTTATGTTTTTCACATAAAAAATGGAATTTGACTTACGGTTCAATTTCATGCCAATATTTTCTATCATTTTATTAATATTTGCCATAATCACTACCGTCTTCCAAAAACTCAAGTAAGATTTTGCTTTATTTTGCTCTTGTTGATTATAGTTACGATTATTTCATATTTCCTTCACATGTTAGATTAAGGTGGCCTGTAAAAGTAAACTGCTGGTTTTGTAATACTAACACAAAGATTTGGCGACAACAGCTTAATTGGTGGATGTGTCCATGTTGTGAACAATATAATGGTTTTTCTAAGGTAAATAAATATATTTAATTAAAATGCAGTAGGGCATATTATTCGAAATATGTTTTCATTTCTGGTATGTATTAAGAATCATGCTTATACAACACATAAAAGATACTTCATTTAATCACTAAGATTTTATGCATAATATATTATGATTATTTTGCCAGGTTGAATTAATTGATTCATTAAATATTTTTAAAGTTATGGAAATATTTTGACACAGAATTGAAGCAGTCTACCTATGCAATATCTTTTAAAATCCTATGTATCTTTTGGAATACTGTTTTCTATTTTTTCTTCCATGTCAAATTTTAGAATGGTGATTACGCATATAATATACCAAAACAGTACAAGACACCGTTGAATGAAATAAAACAATACTGCACAATCAATCAGGACACAACAACCAATAAAATTGCAAATAATGGCTTGTGCAAACAATGTAATAAGAATGAAAGTTTAAAAATGTCAAAATTATCTGATTACATACCTCAAAGTGAAAAAAATTATGAGTATGAGATAAAAAAGTTTAAAGATAGTTTGGAACAACAATATCCATTATGTACAAAGTGTAAAACCACAGTACATACTGTGTTATATAAACAAGCATTATGGCTTACACAATATAAAATGTTGTTTTTCAAACAAAAACCCTTTTGTATTATTACTAATGTAAGTGAATATAATGTAATAAACAATAAAGTTTATTTTATATTTTCACTACAATTGTATTACACTTTGCAGAACAGAAAATACTGTGAACCAATATGCAGAATAATTTCCACAGTTTTGGGCTCAATGGTAGCATATAACATGGAATTCATACTTGTGCCAATTGGAGGATTATTTTTTCAATTTTGTGCTTGCTGGATAACTCCTACAAAAAAACAAAGTTCTGATATATTACTTATGTTTTTATGGATTTGTATGATTATACTCTTGCCTTTTAAAGACACAAAATTAATTAAAGCAGATCTACAGAATACATGGCTTTCTCTTGAATATGTAACTCAATATCATATGGTAAGCATATAAATTAGAATAAAATGCAATGTACTAGTAATTATATTTTAATAGAATTATTTTAAATGTATTTATTA